CCCATAGGAATGAATGGGAGACCCTAGAAACGGGCCCAAAAAAAAGCAGATCTCGGCCCCACGACATCCGAGAGATCTCGTTCGAACATTGACCGGGTCACGAAAGACGGGCCTCCACCATATTGGAGCCACGAGGCCAGATCTCACACCGTTTGCTCGCAATCGCTGTTGATGTTTTAGTGAAATTTAGGAGATCAGAGAATCTTCCCCTCACTCTAGCTGCGCTCATTAAAGCCTGTGCGCGTGTTAACTGGAAAAAAGTCAAACTCCGGCCTCTGGCGACCAAACCGTGGGAAACGAGCGGCGCCAAAACGTAGCCGCGGGCGTCCTCTTTCGGACGATGTGCCCGCTTTTTCAATTCAATTCAATTCAATTTTATTTATATAGCGCCACATCACAACAGTTGTCTCACAGCTTTCCAAACAGAGAAGGTCAGACCCTACTCTGAAGTTAATTACAGAAACCCAACAATTCCCACCATGAGCAAGCACTGGGCGACACAGGCAAGGAAAAACTTCCTTTCAACAGGCAGAAACCTGGAGCAGAACCATGGCTCAGGGTGGGCGGCCATCTGCCTCGGCCGGTTGGGGGTGAGAGAAAGAGAGGGCAAGAGAGAGAGAGAGAGAAAGAGAGAAAAGGACAGAGGGAGCAGAGAGAGGCACCCAACACAGCAACACGTAGAATAGATTAAAAATGGCAATGATATTAATGCTAATGATGAGCAGGAACATGGGGGCAGCAGGAAACTCCCAACCACAGATCCAGATTCCACAGCTCTAGGAACACCTGCAGGAAGTGATAGGAGGAAACTCCAGACCACAGATCCAGACCCCACAGCTCCAGAGCCAGGAATATCTGCAGAAAGTGTTAGGAAGAAAGAGAAGAGAGAAGGGGGACGAGAAAGCACACGACTACGGGGAAGGGAGAGAGTCCAGTTTGTAACATTGTTAATGGAATGAGGTTGCACCGGGAGGGAGAGAGAGAAAGGAAAGGGGAGCTCGGTGCATCATGGGAAGTCCCCCGGCAGTCTAGGCCTATAGCAGCACAACCAGGGGTGGACTTACTCTAACTATAAGCTCTATCATAAAGGAAAGTCTTAAGCCTACTCTTAAATATAGAGACGGTGTCTGCTTCCCGGACCCAAACTGGAACCTGGTTCCACAAAAGAGGACTCTGATAGCTGAACGCTCTAGCGCCCATTCTAGTTTTCAAGACTCTAGGAACTGCCAGTAACCCTTAATTCTGGGAGCGCAGTTCTCTGGTGGGGCAGTAAGGTACTAAGAGCTCTTTAAGATAAGATGGCGCCTGACCATGAAGAGCTTTGTACGTAAGGAGAAGGATTTTAAATTCTATTCTGGATTTAACAGGAAGCCAGTGCAGAGAAGCCAAGACAGGAGAAACATGATCTATTTTTCTGGTTCCTGTAAGAACACGTGCTGCAGCATTCTGGATCGCTTTTGACCTCGGCCTTACGGTTTTCCAGAAATCCGGCCCAGAGTCCAGACTTTCACGATCCTCTCCAATAGGATTTCAATGGAAAAATTCACAAAAAGTCCGGCCAACTGCCAAATCTGACTTCATTTTGAAATTGCCATAAAAAACTAACCGGTGGGAGGAGCCGATATAAAACACACTGGCTGAACCCTGAGACCCTCGTGGCGCTCACGGACCAATAATTATTAAGCTCCTTCATATGGTTTTCGAACAGCGGACAGGAGTTCGGGGTGAACTTTTGATCCAAACTGACGGTTGGCTGTGTCATGGCTGTGGTTTAGTGATGAGTCTGGCTCGTCCTAAAACCCAAATCTGGGTTTTGCTTTCACTCATGAGATCAGATCAGAAAATCATTGCACAAACTGCCTGATTTTATCCGTCAAAGGGTCTGAAAACATGGAAAAACAAGCTGTTTTCTGTACTCAGGGCCCACCGAGGGGGGGGCGAGCCCACAAGAAAGGAGCCAGAGGAGAAGATGCGGAATTTTTGTAAGCCTTGTGGTCATACCAACTCTAATAGGAATCATCATATTTGTCCAGATATGGAAGAAAAGGTAAAGAACTTCCTGCTTGTGAGCTCTGTACTGCTTCCTGCGGACTGAGTGGATCATTTTGTGTTTTTTCTCTGATCGGAAAAACAGAAATGGCCCAAATCAGACAGAAAAACTGGCTTCACTGTGAGTTCCTTCGTGGGTTTCATCCCATCTGTGACTTAATAAACAGGAATCATGGCGTCCAAACCTGATTTTTAATCTGTGTTTTGCTTTTTTGGCTCAGAGCGACGACACCCGATAACCAGAGCAAAGATTAGCAACTCCCCTGAAGAGAAGAAGGTCTCCACTTTATTGGCTTTATGGTTATATAAAATTGTATATTCAAATATTACATATTCTAAATATTCTGATATATTAAGAATATGTATTTGTATTATATATGTATTATAAATATTATACATTGTCTTTATTAAATCAAAGCATTATCATATAAAATTCTGTATTGAAATATTATATATTCTAAATATTCTGAAATATATATATACATATATAGCAGCAAACTGCTTTAATTTTTCTTCTTCCTGGAGTCATGAAGCTTTGAATTTGATCAATTTTGTATTATTATTTTTGTTAATTTTCCTCAAAGCTTGTTTTCAGAACCGGGTCAGAACCTGGAGTTCTGCTCTGAGTCTCAGCTGGGTGTTTCCAGCTCTTTTCTTCAGGTCTTCAGATTCTAACTAATGAGATCCTGTTCTGTTCTCAGGTCAGAAAAGGGAGGAGGTGGAGCTTGTTCTGACTCCAGCCCTGGACAGAAAAGCCTCCCACAGACAGACGTCAACCAGTGTTTAAAGGAGCTACTGCTCAGTGTCTTTGAAGTCTCCGATTAGAAGAAGTTTTCTCCGTGTTTGTGTCTGACATTTGAATGAAATCTGAATAGGTCTATTGGTCTCAAGCTGCTTGTGGAGTCAGAAACCGGCTCCAGTCTCTGACGTTAATCTTGTTATAAACTGTGACACTTTAATTAATCATTCCAATGAAGTTTTTCCGAGAACAAGGTCTCTTTGAGTCCGAGTTTTCACCTTTTTGTTATATTATTTATGTTCTTTTGACATTTCAAGCTGTTCGAACACAAATTAAAATAAAGTATTTTAAATAATAAAATATTTGTCTCTGAGGAGAAGCGTTTTCTGTCCCCATCTGTTGGATTATCATGTCCGTATTAAAATCTACCAGTTTCTGTCCAGCGTTTTTGGTGTTTTGGGATTTATAAAAGACAGAAAAACACCTTCTGGATCTTCTGCATTTGGCTCTCCGCTGTCTGACTGAGGGTCACTTTCTCTGTAGATCAAGAAAGAATGGTGAATCTAACCCAGCAGAGGAAGTAAAATCCAAAGGTTTTGACTGGTTTGATGCTTTTTTTTATCTGTTTGATGTTCACCTCCCTGGGCGGCCTCAAGGGGTTTGAGTGTCCCAAAACTATATATCTTTCACAATTCTTCCAACAGGGGGTGCTGTTAAGCTAAGAGGTTAAAACCAAGAAAAAAGGTAGAAACTTCCCTTTAAAAAGACTCTAGCAGCTTCAGGGTTGTAATAAATCATTTCTAACTTAGTTCAGGGTGTTAACTACATTTTGATTTAACTGAAAAAAGTACAGTATGTTTTAGGAACCTTTTGAGTCTCATTCAGATGGTTTATAATGAGAATAAATTAGGATAAATGAGTAAAGGATAGATAAAATACAACATTTGACATTGTTGTATTCACACTTAGGAATGAAATATTCAGCAAACAGAATAAAAACGTTTATTATTAAGAACTACTTTTGCTCTTTTTCAGGATTTTACCGTTTGATATTTGGCTGAAATCTACTGAACTCTTTCATTTCAAAAAGCTGTAATCACCATTGAGGTCTTTTGGGTTTCAGCTCTTTATAGGAGCTGATATCCAGGAACTGTTGCCACTTTCAGAAAATTGTCCCGATTAAATTAAGATTCATGAAGCAAAGGTTTAGTCTATTTGGACCCAAATACTTCTAATTTATCAGCAGGAGATAAATACAGTAAATGGTTTTAAATCCAGGTCTGGATGAACCCAAAACCAATCACATCCCTGGAAAGCTCTGGATGTCCTCCATCCTTTAGCAATCACATCCCTGGAAAACAAATTTCCCACAATCCAAAACACCAGAAATGTGTTTTTAGTAACCCATAAAGGTGAAATTCCAGATTTTTAGAAGTATTAATCTTAATCAAAGATCTACTGTGATGCCTTCTGCACATTTTTAAAATGTGTTAAATATTGTTTTTGACTAGTGAGAGGAAACATCCCATAAAAATGATGCTAGTTTTTTAGCAGCTGGTCACAGATCCTGTCCTGACAAAAAAACTCAGTTTAAAAAAAAATTAAAAATTTATTGTAGGCAGCATTAACATACAAAACAGCAATAAAAAAATAAACAGCAATCCACTGGTTTGTTTTAAAAATACATAAAAAAAATAAAAACTTCATCAAAATAATGAAATTAGAAGCACCCAACGTGGAAAGTAAGCCAGATGTCCACTTTTATAAACAATTCAGCTTAGATTAGTCCTTTGTTTGTCTGGAAAAAGGGAATTTTGTTTCCATCAGTCACATGACCATCCCGAGTCCAGCTCCAGAACCCCATCAGAACCAGAACCAGAACCAGGGGCCCGGCTGGGGGACAGGAAAGAGGGTCGGACCAGCACCGGGAACGTGAAACCAGAGAAACCAGCTGAGAGACACAAACAGAACAAAATGAGTCAAAACAGGAGAAGTCCAATTAGACCTGAAGAAAAGAGCTGGAAACACCCAGCTGAGACTCAGAGCAGAACTCCAGGTTCTGACCCGGTTCTGAAAACAAGCTGGGATCCTTTAAGCTTTGTGGAAAAATAACAAAAATAATAATACAAAATTGATTAAATTCAAAGCTTCATGACTTCAGGAAGAATAGAAATTAAAGCAGTTTGCTGCTATATATGTATATTTATAATATATATTATATATAATATTTTTATGTATAATATATTTAAAATATTATTTATATAATAATGCTTTTATATAATAAAGCCAATATATCATATTCATAATACATATAAAATATAATACAAATATATATATTCTAAATATTTCAGAATATTTAGAATATATAATATTTCAATACATAATTTTATATGATAATGCTTTGATTTAATAAAGACAATATATAATATTTATAATACATATATAATACAAATACATGTTCTTAATATATCAGAATATTTAGAATATATAATAATTTAATATACAATTTTATATAACCATAAAGCCAATAAACTGGAGACCTTTTTGTCTTCAGAGCTGCTCATCTCTGCTCTGGTTGTCAGGCGAGGTCGCTCTGAGCCAAAAAAGCAAAACACAGATTAAAAATCAGGTTTGGACGCCATGATTCCTGTTTTTTAAGTCACAGATGGGATGAAACCCATGACGGAACTCACAGTCACAGTCGTTCTGTCTCTGGGTTTTCGTCCGTTTCTAGTTTTCTGATCAGAGAAAAACCACAAAATGATCCACTCAGTCAGGAGGAAGCATCACGGAGCTCAAAAGCAGGACTTTCTTTACCTTTTCTTCCATTTCCAGACAACTATGATGATTATTATTACAGCTAATGTGACAAAAAAGCCTCCAAGAATTCCTGCTCGAGTCATCTGGCTCCTTTCTTGTGGGTTCGTCCCCCCCTCGGTGGGCCCTGAGTACACAAAACGTCTTGTTTTTCCATGTTTTCAAAACCCTTTGACGCATAAAATCTGGCAGTTTGTGCCATGATTTTTCTGATCTGACCTCATGAATGAAAGCAAAACCCAGATTTGGGTTTCAGGACAAGCCATACTCTCCCCCCGGACCCAAAGGGACTCTGGATGGGTCTGCCCACAACATGCTAAACTGCCACACCTGTGACTCATCACTAAACCACCGCCATGACACAGCCAACCGTCAGTTTGGATCAAAAGTTCACCCCGAACTCCTGCCCGCTGTTTGAAAACTATATGACGGAGCTTAATAATTCTTGGTCCGTGAGCGCCACGAGGGTCTCAGGGTTCAGCCAGTGTGTTTTATATCGGCTCCTCCCACCGGTTAGTTTTTTATGGCAATTTCAAAATGAGGGCAGATTTGGCAGTCGGTTGGTCCGACTTTCTGTGAATTCTTCCATTGAAATCATAGTGGAGAGGGTCGTGAAAGTCTGGACTCTGGGCCCGATTGCCGGAAAACTGTAAGGCCGAGGTCAAAAGCGGGCACATCGGCCGAAAGAAGACGCCCGTGGCTACGTTTTGGCACCGCTCGTTCCCATGCTTTGGTCGCCAGAGGCCAGAGTTTGACTTTTTTCCAGTGAACACGCGCACAGGCTTTAATGAGCTAGAGTGAGGGGAACATTGTCTGATCTCCTAAATTTCACTAAAACGTCAACAGCGATTGCGGGCAAACGGTGTGAGATCTGGCTTCGTGGCTTCAATATGGCGGAGGCCCGTCTTTCGTGACCCGTTCAACGTTCGAACGAGGTCTCTCGGACGTTGTGGGGCCCAGTGATAAAGCCCTGATTGCGCTGCCTTTTTTTGGGCCCTTTTCTAGGATCTCCCATTCATTTCTATGGGCCAAATTTTGCCGCTTTTTTGCAGTTTACTCGGAAACGCCGGGACTAATGAGAAATTTTTTTACAAGCACGCATCCCCTGGTTGAGACGGACGCGTGTGCCGCTTTTGGGCCCGATACGCGGAACCGTGCGCAACGAGTTACGCGCTGAAAATCGTACGGAAACGGGAGAACTATAAGAAGTGACGGAATAAGTATTTTGGATAGTAATAGATGGGCCTTGCCTGCGGCAGTGGCCCCCCTAATTAGTATTTCGGATAGTAATAGGGGGGCCACTGCCACAATTGCTTGTTAAACCCTCCTGCCTCGTTTCTGTCTGTCAGAGAGGGAATCTACAGTTTCAGATCCTGAGTCAAACCCACTGAGGCTCCTCAGAGTGGCCGTGCGGCTGCTGGAGGCGGTGCTGACGGTGCAGCTGTAGCTCCCGGCAGCTTCTCCCTCCGGCAGCAGCAGAGAGCTGCTGATGTTGTACAGCTGCTGCTGCGTCCGCTGGACTCTGGTTCGGCTCTGGAGGCTGCTGCTGGATGGGGTCTGGAGGGGGGGGCTGCTGGATGGGGTCTGGAGGGGGGGGCTGCTGGCCCAGCGGAGCTCAGGTTCAGGGTAGATCCAGCTGGAGCTGCAGGTGATGCTGTTTCCCTCCTGGTGGACGCGGACCGCTTTCACTGGAGCTGCACACAGCACAGAAACAGCTGAGAGAGCTGCTCAGGATGGGGTTTTCTGCCTTTCTGATGAACGTTTGGATTAAATCTGGGCACAGAAGGCTGGTAAAAACAGCTCGTAAGTCATCAATCAGCTGAGTATTCTTATGTTTTGGGGGGTTTTCTGTCCTTTAGCCACTTCCCTTTTGAATTGGGAAATATTAGCTTAAATAACAAACAGAAATATCTTACAAATCATCACGACAGCAATTAAGGAGGCTATAATGAACTAGAACATTTCTGAAGAAATTTTAGAGGGGGGCCACCTGCTGCCCGTCCAGGAACCCGGGGCAGGTCGGCCAATTGATATTTGGGCTCTCTGTAATGTGGGCTCGCGCCTATGAGAGGGCCTGAGGGAGAGACGCGGTGATGGTGGGACCTGGCTGAGCTCTGGGGCCCGCTGACCGAATGTAATTGGTTTGAGAAGGTCGCGGGTCACATTGGCTGAAAGCTGAGAAAAAGACTTACGCAACGAGGTATGACATGCCTGGGTCCGGCCCCGGTCCGGTTCCGCACGGTTGGGTCCGATCCCCAGAACCAGAACCAGAACCGGGCTCTGACTAAAGAAATAATGTATTTCTTGAAAAATCACTGAGAGTGGGCTTCGTGCCAGAATCACTGTATTAGTTCAATCTTTCTAAGCGGGCTTCGCCCGCCTGGAACCAGAAGCTACCAGAACCACAGCTCACAGAGCTCTGCAGAGACCCACAGCGCTGCTGTGGGTCTCTGCTGGTCGCCACGGCGACAGCAGCCAGGCCAAAGTCTCAGCTCCCACACCTGTGACTCATCACTGAGCCGTAGCTGTGACACAGACAACTGACGGATTGGATCAAAAGTTGCCTCCGAACGGCTTCACAAAACTGGAAAATTCTTGGACCGTGAGCAGCACGAGACTTTAAGGTCGAAGCGAGTATATTTCATTTCCGGATGCTCCCAGCGGTTATTTTTTTATGGCAATTTCAAAATGAGGGCCGTTTTGGGTCTGGTGAAAAGAATTTCTCCTTTCTTCCATTAAAATCCTATTGGAGAGGGTCGGGAAAGGCTGGACTCTGAGCCCGATTGCCGGAAAACCGTAAGGCCGAGGTCAAAAGCGGGCATATTGGCGGAAATAGGATGCCCGCGGCTACGTTTTGAGGCCATTTTGGCGCCGCTCGGCCCCACGGATTGGTCGCCAGAGGCCGTAGTTTTACTTTTTTTCGGTGAGCGTCCCCACTGGTCTTTCAGAGGCCTTAACGAGCTGAGTTAGAATGCGGGCCAGGATCTCTGATTTTCTGAATTTCACTAAAACGTCAACAGCGATTGCAGGCAAACGGTGCGAGATCTGGCCTTGTGGCTCCAATATGACGGAGGCCCATCTTTTGTGTCCCGTTCAATGTGCGAACGAGGTCTCTCGGACGTCTTTCGGCTTTTTTTGGGGCCCGTTTGTCGGTGGCCCCATTCATTCCTATGGCCAAAATTTTGCCACTTTTTCGCCGTTTACTCGGAAACACCCGGTCCTTTGAGAAAGATAAGTAATAGTACACGTCCCGTGGTCGGGTCGGACGCGCGTGCCGATTTTGGGCCCGATCCGCGGAACCATGCGCGACAAGTTACGCGCCGAAATTCGGGCGGAAACGGGATAACTATAAGGAGCGGAATAAATATGGCGAAGAGTAATAGGTGGGCCTTGCTTGCGGCAGTGGCCCCCCTAATAATTAAGCGATGGCTTAGAGGTAACCCCACTAACATTAAATTAAACAATGGAGGTAACAGCTAAAAAAGCTGCTGAGGGAGGAATAAATCTGCTCTGAATGGGGGTTTTCTTTCTCTCTGATGAACATTGGGGGCTAACTAACTAACTAACTAACTAACCAACAACCAACCAACCAACCAACCAACCAACCAACCAACGAACCAACCAACCAACCAACGAACCAACGAACGAACGAACGAACGAACGAACGAACGAACGAACGAACGAACGACCGAACGAACGAACGAACGAACGAACGAACTAACGAACTAACGAACTAACGAACTAACTCCTACCGTCCACTCTCAGAACGACGCAGTCCTCGTAGCTTCCTGAGACGGTGCTGATGAAGCAGTAGTACCGGCCCCCGTCCTGGACCCGGACCCCCCCCAGCAGCAGGGAGGCGTTCCCCCCGGGGATCTGCCCCCCGAACAGGGAGGTCCGGCCCCTGAAGGCCGGGTCCTGGTTCCCCAGCTGGTCCCGGTTCTGGTAATAAGAATGGACCTGAGTCTCCCCATCCGTTCTGACCTGGATCCAGTGGATGACGGCGTCGTCTCCGGGGGGGAAGCCGCAGGGCAACAAGCAGCTCTCCATGAAAACACAGGACAGCTCCGACTCTGAGGAACCACAGGCGCAAAAAGGTTTTATTAACTCGTTGACTGCCAGCCATTTTCAGAACAGAGTCCCATACTGCCAGAGTTTTTAGGAGCATTTTGACTGATTTTTCAAGAGCCACAGAACAGTTTGTGCTATGACTATGTAAACACCGAACACACCAAAAGAGAGAGTAGACTCTCTTCTTTCATCAGGAAAATTATTTTGTTTCTAGCTTATTCCGTTCTTCCTCGACTTGCGTCTCACCAGCGACATGTTCTCTCATAGCAAACCGTTACCTTTTTCTTATTTGCCTACAGTCTATGCTCATCTCCCATCAAAAGTGGCACTGCCCCCTAGAGAGTCAATTTGTTACTACATACTCTGTCTAGAAGCCGATATTTACGGACAAGCTTTAGCAGATCGTCCCCCAAGCCACTCGTGTTGAAAAACATAAAAGACGTCTATAAATGTCTTTGGCAGTCAACGGTTGTATTTGAATTGACGTCTATAGACGTCTTTGGCAGTCAATGAGTTAAACTCAAAAATGCACTCGCAAGGAGTGGAAGAAAAGTACAAAATAAAGGCCACTCAACCAGGACGGTTAGAAAAGTAACAAATCAGGATCACTCAAAAAACGATGCTAGCAAAGGCTCATAAACAAAGCAACAAAACAATACTAAACAAAAACTAAACAAAAAAACAAAATAGCCTGACTAACGATCTCCTGATCCGTTTAATATAGAAAACAAATACAAATAAAATAATTGTGTAAAATTTTCTGTTACAGTCAGTCTCAGACAGGACTCAGGTGTGGAGATCAGGGAACAAAAGGTCTTATTAAACTCGCAAGGAGTGGAAGCAAAGTACAAAATAAAGGTCACTCAC